GACAGAGAGAGCAAAGCAAAGAGAACGCGTAAGGGAGGCACACAGAGGGAGAGAGAGAAAAANCCTCTCCCTCCTTCCTTTCCTTCCTCCCCTTCTCTTCTCTTCCCTATCTCCTCCCCTCCTCTCCCTCCATCCCCCCCCTCCTATCCCTCCACCTCCCTCCCTTCCTCCCTCCCTCCCTTCCCATCCTTTCCCTTTCCCTTTCCCTTCTCCTCCTCCTTTCCTTCCATCCCCCTCCACCTTCCCGTCGCCCTTCCCTCCCTCCCTTCCCCCATCCCCTTCTCCCTTCCCTTCTCCTCCTCCCCTCCCTTCCCTCTCCTCTTCCCACCTCCCCCTCCCTTCCCGTCGCCCCCTTCCCTTCTCCCTTTCCCTTTCCCTTCTCCTTCTCCCCCTCCCTTCCCTCTCCTCTTCCTTCCCTCCCCTTCCCTTCCCTCCCTTCCTCCCCTTCCCCCATCCTCTTCTCCTTCCCTCCTTCTCTCCATCAAACCTTCCCTTTCCATCCGCCCCTCCCCCCCTTCCCCCCTTCTCCTCCCCTCCCTCTCCTCTTCCCGTCGCCCCCTCTCACCTGCGCTCCTGCAGGGGGTTGCGGCGCCCTCCTCTTCTCCCTGTCCTCCTCTCCTCGGATGCTGGACGTCCTGCCTGGCTTCCTGGGGGTGATGGGGGCGCGGACGTCGCCTGGGGAAAATGGGCGTAGGCGGTCGTGAAAATGGGTCAATGGGGAAGGCTGGATAAAGCAGTGGATAGGAGAGAAAGAGGAAGAAAGTGTATGGGGGTCTTTTTTTTCTTTTCTGTTTCATATAATTCATGATTTTATGATTTTATAATTTTATGATTTCTGTTTATAATTTCTCTCTCCTTTTTTATCCTGATTTCTGTCTTATTCCTGTCTGTTTTTTTTTTTCTCTCTGTCTCTGTCTGTCTGTCTCTGTTCTCTGTCTCTGTTCTCTCTCTCGCTCTCTCTCTATATATATACCTTCCCTCCCCCCCTTCTCTCTCTCTCTCTTTCTTTTTTTCTTTCTTTCTCTCTCTCTCTCTCTCTCTCTCTCTCTCTCTCTCTCTCTCTCTCTCTCTCTCTCTCTCTCTCTCTATATATATATATATATATATATATATATATATATATATATATATATATATATATACTTCCCCCCCTCTCTCTCTGTCTGTATGTCCTGTCTGTCTGTCTCTCTCTCTCTCTCTCTCTCTCTCTTCTCCTCTCTCTCTCTCTCTCTCTCTCTCTCTCTCTCTCTCTCTCTCTCTCTCTCTCTCTGTGTGTGTGTGTGTGTGTGTGTGTGTTTCTTTCTTTCTATTTCTCTCTCTCTCTGTCTCTTTATCTCTCTCTCTGTTGTCTGTCTGTCTGTCTCTCTCTCTCTATCTATCTATCTCTCTCTCTGTCTCTTTCTTTCTTTCACTCTCTCTCTCTCTGTCTCTTTCTCTCTGTGTTTCTTTCTTTCGCTTTCTCTCTCTCTCTCTCTCTCTCTCTTTCTCTCTCTCTCTCTTCTCTCTCTCTCTCTCTCTCTCTCTCTCTCTCTCTCTCTCTCTCTCTCTCTCTCTCTCTCTCTCTCTCTCTCTCTCTCTGTATGTCTGTTCTATCTATCTATCTATCTCTGTCTCTGTCTCTCTCTCTCTCTCTCTCTCTCTCTCTCTCTCTCTCTCTCTCTCTCTCTCTCTCTCTCTCTCTCTCTCTCTCTCTCTCTCTCTCTCTGTCTGTATGTCTCTCTCTGTCTGTTGTCTGTCTTATCTATCTATCTCTGTCTCTCTCTGTCTCTGTCTCTGTCTCTGTCTCTGTCTTGTCTCTGTCTCTCTCTGTCTGTCTCTCTCTCTCTCTCTCTTCTCTCTCTCTCTCTCTCTCTCTCTCTCTCTCTCTCTCTCTCTCTCTCTCTCTCTCTCTCTCTCTCTCTCTCTCCCCCTCCTTCCCCTCCTTCCCTTCCCTCACCCAGATTGGCGTAGACGGAATCCCTGACCAGCTTCGGGGGCTCAGGTCTGGGGGGGCCCCCTCCTCCTCCTCCTCCTCCTCCTCAGCCCCTCCTTCTGCCCTCCTTCTGCCTTCCCTCCTCCTCCTCCTCCTCCTCCTTCTCCTCTTCCCTCTCCTCTTCCTGCCCTCGACGAGCTACCTGCGGTGCTTGGGGTCCTCGTGGGCGGCGGGGGGCGCTGGGGCGGTGGTGGGCGTGGGCGTGGGGGGCCGTCGGGGGGGCTCTCGGCGAGGGGGGTGTCGGCGCCCTGGCTCGACTCGAGGGACACCTTGCGAGGGGAGGGGGTGGCTTGGGCCGGCCTGGAGGGGGGAGAGGGGGAGAGAGGGAGGGAATGAGATGTAAAAGACAGGAAAAACAATTAGAGAATATAGACAATCGGACAAACAAAGAGAAACAATAAAAGAAAATAATAAAAGACAATAAAAACAAAAAACAAAACTAACTAAATAGAATAAAAGACAAACAATCGGTCAAACAAACAAGAAACATAATAATAACAATAATAACAATAACAACAACAACACAACAGCCAGCGTCTCGTCCTGACCTTCGGAGTTGTAGCCGAGGTGGCCCGTCGGCGCGCCCGCGTGGCCGCTCTCGCTCGCGAAGGACTCTCGCCGCTCCAGCGCCGGGTCCTGGGGGCAGAGGGCGGGGTCAGAGGGCGAGGAGGGGTCATAGGGCGAGGGGCGAGTTTTGGCGAGGGGGGGGGTTACAGGGCTTGGGGCGGAGTTTTGGGCGAGGGGCGGGGTTACGGGCAGGGGGGGGTCAGAGTTCAGGAGGGGTCAAATGGGGGCGGGTTTTGGGGAGGGGGCGGGGGGCTTGGGGGCGGAGTTTTGGGCGAGGGGGCGGGGTTACAGGGCTGGGGCGGAGTTTGGGCGAGGGGGCGGGGTTACAGGCAGGGGCGGGGTCAGTTCATGGGAGGGGTCATAGGGCTTGGGGCGGGGTTACAGGGCAGGGGGCTGAGTTTTGGGCGAGGGGGCGGGTCAGAGTTCAAGGAGGGAGGGGTCAAAGGGCTTGGGGGCGGAGTTTTGGGCGGGGGGCGGGGTCAGAATTCATGGGAGGGGTCAAAGGGCTTGGGGCGGGTTTTGGGCGCGAGGGGCGGGGTCAGAGTTCAAGGAGGGAGGGGTCAAAGGCTTGGGGGCGGATTTTGGGCGAGGGGGCGGGGTCAGAGTTCATGGAGGGTCAAAGGGCTTGGGCAGGGGGCGGGTTTTTGGGCGAGGGGCGGGTTACAGGGCAGGGGCGGGGTCAGAGTTCAAGGAGGGTCAAAGGGCTTGGGGGCGGGGGCGAGGGGGCGGGGTTACAGGGCAGGGGGCGGGGTCAGAGTTCATGGGAGGGGTCAAAGGCCTTGGGGCGGGGCTTGAAGACACGGGGCGGGGCATGAGTGCATGGGGGCGGGGTGTGAAGGGAAGGGGCGGTCACAAAATAATAAATATATATATACATTTTTCACAAACATGGTGGAAGGGAGAGAGAAGTTTGAAGAAGAGACAGCGATAAACGACGGATGAAAGAGGAATGAAAGAATAATGGAAATAATAGTAAGAGGAGGAGGAAATGAGAAGGATAAGAATAAGAGGAAGAAAAGGAGGAGAAGAAGGAGTAAGAGGAGAAGGAGGCAAGCAAAACGAAAAATAACAGAGAAAAAAAGGAAGTAAGGAAGGCGAGAAGAGAGAAGTAGAGAGAGGAAGAGAGAAGAGAAGAGCCAGCATCGACACAGAAGACCGAAGCAACACGAAAGAGAGAAACAGGAAAAACCCGAATAAAGCAAGCCAAAGCAAGACGAACACGAAGAGAATGACAGGAACTCGAATAAAGCAAGCCAAAGCGACAGAGCAACACGAAGGAGAAAACAGGAAAAACCCGAATAAAGCAGACCAAGAGCAACACGAAGGAGAGAAACAGGATAAACTCAAATAAAGCAAGCCAAAGCAAGACGAAGAGTAACACGAAGGAGAGAAACAGGAAAAACCTGAATAAAGCAAGCCAAAGCAAGCCATAGCAAGACGAAAAACCCGAATAAAGCAAGCCAAAGCAAGACGAAAAAACCGAATAAAGCAAGCCAAAGCAAGCCAAAGCAAGACGAAAAACCCGAATAAAGCAAGCAAGCAAAGCAAACGAAAAACCCGAATAAAGCAAGCCAAAGCAAGCCAAAGCAAGACGAAGACCACTGACCCTCCTGAGGAAGGAGCCCTTCTTCTCGAGCGACGGCCCCAGGGGGAGGGGAGCCGCCCCCAGGGGGAGGGGGCACGGCACGCTGGCGTAGATCTCGGCGCCGCTGGGGGAGGGCAGGGGGGGCGCTCCGGGTCCCACGGGGGTGGGGGGCCTGCAGGGGGTGGAGGGGGGCCTGCGGAAGGGGGGAGGGAGGGGGTGATAAATGGGAAGGAGGGAGACGAAGATAGATGGATAAGGGGGGACGCGATAATTGATAAGGAGAGATGGATAAGGGGAGGGGGTTGATAAACGGGGAGGGGGACGAAGATAGATGGATAGGGGGACGCGATAATTGATAAGGAGGGGGAAGGAGAGGGGGTTGATAAATGGGAAGAGGGAGACGAGGATAGATGGATAAGGGGGACGCGATAATTGATAAGGAGAGATGGATAAGGGGAGGGGGTTGATAAATGGGAAGATGGGGGCGAAGATAGATGGATAAGGGGACGCGATAATTGATAAGGAGAGAGATTAGGGGAGGGGTATAAATGGGAAGAGGGAGACGAAGATGGGGGGACGCGATAATTGATAAGGAGAGATGGATAAGGGGAGGGGGTTGATAAAATGGGAAGAGGGAGACGGAAGGTAGATGGATAGGGGGACGCGATAATTGATAAGAGAGATGGATAAGGGGATGGGAGTTGATAAATGGGAAGAGGGGGACGAAGGTAGATGGATAAGGGGACGGATAATTGATAAGGAGAGATGGATAAGGGGAGGGGGTTGATAAATGGGAAGAGGGGGACGAAGATAGATGGATAAGGGGGACGCGATAATTGATGAGGCGAGAAGAGAAAGAGAGATGGATAAGGGGAGGGGGTTGATAAATGGGAAGAGGGAGACGAAGATAGATGGATAAGGGGGACGCGATAATTGATAAGGAGAGAAGAGAAGGGGAGGGGGTTGATAAATGGGAAGAGGGAGACGAAGATAGATGGATAAGGGGGACGCGATAATTGATAAGGAGAGAAGGGAAGGAGAGATGGATAAGGGGAGGGGGTTGATAAATGGGAAGAGGGAGACGAAGATAGATGGATAAGGGGGACGCGATAATTGATAAGGCGAGAAGGGAAGGGGAGGGGGTTGATAAATGGGAAGAGGGAGACGAGGATAGATGGATAAGGGGGACGCGATAATTGATAAGGAGAGAAGGGAAGGAGACGGGGTTGATAAATGGGAAGAGGGAGACGAAGATAGATGGATAAGGGGGACGCGATAATTGATAAGGCGAGAAGAGAAGGGGAGGGGGTTGATAAATGGGAAGAGGGGACGAGGTAGATGGATAAGGGGGACACGATAATTGATAAGGCGAGAAGGGAAGGGGAGGGGGTTGATAAATGGGAAGAGGGAGACGAAGATAGATGGATAAGGGGGACACGATAATTGAATAGGAGAGAAGAGAAGGAGAGATGGATAAGGGAGGGGGTTGATAAATGGGAAGAGGGGGACGAAGATAGATGGATAAGGGGGACACGATAATTGATAAGGAGAGATGGATAAGGGGAGGGGGTTGATAAATGGGAAGAGGGGGACGAGGTTAGATGGATAAGGGGAGAGGGTGATAAATGGGAAGAGGGAGCGAGGATAGATGGATAAGGGGGACGCGATAAATTGATAAGGGAGAGAGAAGGGAGGGGGTTGATAAATGGGAAGAGGGAGACGAAGATAGATGGATAAGGGGGACACGATAATTGATAAGAAGGATAAGGGGAGGGGTTGATAATGGGAAGAGGGAGGACGAAGATAGATGGAAGGGGACGCGATAATGATAAGGCGAGAGGGAGGGAGAGGGGAAGAAAAAGACAGTGAGAGAGGGAAGCGGAACATGGATAAAGGGGGAATAGAAACACGGATAAAGACGGGAATGAAAAGGGAGTAAAGGGAGGAAAAGGACAAATGATGAAAGGCAGAAAAAGATAAATAGATAAAGGGAGAATAAAAACAGAAAGAGAGACAGATAGATAATAGGAGGAAAAGAAAAATTACGAAAGGGAGAAACGGAATATGAATGGAGAACAGAAACATTAATAAAAGGAGGACGATAAGAAAGAAAGGACAGACGAAAGACGGGAAGAAGCACAGATGAGTAAAGAGGGAAAAACAAAAAAATAATAAAGAAAGGAACAAGAAATGCAGAAATGGAAATAAAGGGACGATAAAAAAGCGAAGAATGGATAAAGAGAAGTGGATAATAAAGTAGAATAAAGGAAAAGAAAAGGAAAAAAATAGTTGATGGGTAAGATTATTCTTTAATTATTTATTTATTTATTTAATTATTTTATTTATTTATTTAATAATTCTAAAATAAAAGAAAATGGAATAACTTAAGAATAAGAAGAAGGAGAGGAAGAGATAAATGAAGAGAGAGAGAGAAAAAAGAAGAAATGAAAAGGAAAACAAAAGTGATGATTGGTAAGGCGAGAAGGGAAGGGGAGGGGGTTGATAAATGGGAAGAGGGAGACGAAGATAGATGGATAAGGGGGACGCGATAATTGATAAGGAGAGAAGAGAAGGGGAGGGGGGATTAAATGGGAGAGGGAGACGAAGATAGATGGATAAGGGGGGCACGATAATTGATAAGGAGAGATGGATAAGGGGGGGTTGATAAATGGGAAGAGGGAGACGAAGGATAGATGGATAAGGGGACGCGATAATTGATAAGGCGAGAAGGAAGGGGAGGGGGTTGATAAATGGGAAGAGGGGGACGAGGATATGGATAAGGGGGGGCGCGCGATAATTGATAAGGAGAGAAGAGAAGGGGAGGGGGTTGATAAATGGGAAGAGGGAGACGAAGGTAGATGGATAAGGGGGGCGCGATAATTGATAAGGAGAGATGGATAAGGGAGGGGGGGTTGATAAATGGGAAGAGGGAGACGAAGATAGATGGATAAGGGGACACGATAATTGATAAGGAGAGAAAGAAGGGGAGGGGTTGATAAATGGGAAGAGGAGACGAAGATAGATGGATAAGGGGGACGCGATAATTGATAAGGCGAGAAGGGAAGGGGAGGGGGTTGATAAATGGGAAGAGGGGGACGAAGATAGATGGATAAGGGGGACACGATAATTGATAAGGAGAGATGGAAGGGGGGAGGGGGTTGATAAATGGGAAAAGAGACGAAGATAGATGGATAAGGGGGACACGATAATTGATAAGGAGAGAGAGAAAGGAGAGATGATAAGGGGAAAAAAAAGACAGTGAGAGAGGGAAGCGGAACATGGATAAAGGGGGAATAGAAACACGGATAAAGACGGGAATGAAAAATGAGTAAAGGGAGGAAAGAGACAAATGATGAAAGGGAGAAAAAGATAAATAGATAAAGGGAGAATAGAAACAGAAAGAGAGACAGATAGATAATAGGAGGAAAAGAAAAATTACGAATGGGAGAAACGGAATATGAATAAAAGGAGAACAGAAAAACATTAATAAAAGGAGGGACGATAAGAAAGAAACGACAGACGAAAGACGGAAGAGGAAGAAAACAAAAAAATAATAAAAAAGAAGCACAGATGAGAAAGAGGAAAAACAAAAAAATAATAAAGAAAGGAACAAGAAATGCAGAAATGGAAATAAGACGATAAAAAAGCGAAGAATGGATAGATAGAAGTGATAATAAGTAGAATAAAGGAAAAGAAAATAAATTGATGCATAGATAATTCTTTAATTACAAGAAGTTGATTTTTTAATGTTTTTAAATGATTTATTAATATTTGAAGAAAAGAAAATGAATAACTTAAGAATAAGAATAAGGAGAGAAGAGATAAATGAAGAGAGAGAGAGAAAAAAAAGAGAAAGAGAAGAAATGAAAGGAAAACAAAAGTGATAAATAGAAGAATAAAGATAAGAGAGAAAGGGATAAGAACAATTAAGATAAAGAAAAAAAGAAAAAGGAAAAAAGAAACAGAAGGAAAACAACGAAAAAGAAACAGCAACAGTAGAAAAATAGAAGAAAGAAAGAGAAAATTAGGAGAAGAAGAAAGAGGAAAAAAAGAAGATAAGGAAGAGGAAGAAGAAGAAGACAAAGAAAAAAGGAAGAAGAAGAAGAAGATGACAAAGAAAAAATGGAAGAAGAAGAAAAAAACAAGAAAAAAGAAGAGAAAGAAGGAGAAAAAAGGAGGAAGAGGAAGAACAGGAGGAAGAGGAAGAACAGGAGGAGCAAGGCAAGTGAATTAAAAGGTCAATCGTTTTGCGTGAATGAATTTGATCAAAATAAACTTTATTGAAATTGATGGAATTGCTTTGGGCACGAAGGGGTTGCCAGACGCCGCTGGCTAGAACATCTCAGTCTGTTTTGGCTTCGTAATGTTTTTGTTTGTTTTCTTCCCTTATGTTGTCGTTTTTGGTGTTGTTGTTGTTGTTAATTTTCTTCTTTTTTTGTTTTGTTTTTGTTGCTGTGTTTTTCTGTTCTTTACATTTCCTCTACGTTCTTTTATATCTACCATCCCTTCTCGGTCTCCATTGTTCGAATCCATTTATTCTAATCTATTTTTTTACCCCCATAATTTGAATAACCTTCCTGCGCTGTTCCACGAAGCCCTGTTCTTCCTCTACGGCATTCTCGCCCCAAAAGGAAATAACAAGAACAAGAAAAAGAGACAAGGAAAAGACAAATAAAACAGGAATTGAAGACTCGTCCGACTCGCTCAGACGTGACGTCACGTGACCGACGACAATTCGCTTATGACTAACTTGAATGACTGAGTGATTGACTGACAGGCTGACTGATTGACTGACTGACCTGATGGATGATTGAATGGGATAACTGACTGACTGGTTTACTGACTGAATGAATGGCAAAGTGACTGATTGACTAAATTTCTGACTTGACTGACTGACTGACTGCCTGTCTGACTAACTGACTGACTGAATATGACACTGATTAACTAACTGACTGACTGACTGACTGACTAACTAACTAACTAACTGACTGACTGAGCTGACTAACTAACTAACTGACTGACTAACTGACTGACTGCCTGCCTGATGACTGGACTAACTGACTGACTAACTGGACTAACTAACTAACTAACTAACTTAACTAACTGAACTGACAGACAGACTAACTGAGACCGACTGACTGACCTGCAGTGAGCGCGGCGGGGAGGCGTAGCTTCCTCCAGCGGCGAGCCCTTGGCAGCGGCGGGGGCGGCGCCCCTGGCCTGCAACCCCTGGGCCGGGGGCACGTAGCCGTAGATGCCCGTGTAGTCGTAGATGGGCGCCGTCTTCTCAGGGCGGGCTATCACCTGGAGGGGGAGAAGGAGGGAAGAGGGGGTTAGTGTTGCAGGACGGGGTTGTATTTTGTCGGGGGGAGGGGGGCGCGCTATCACCTGGGGGGGGGGAGGAGAAGGAGGCAGGGGAGGGGTTAGTGTGTAGGAAAGGTTGTATTTTGCGGGTGGGGGAGGGAGGAGGGTGATGGATGTGGGGGGGGGGGAATGGAGGGGGTGTGGTGCTGTAGGAAAGTGTATTTTTGCGGGGGGGGTGGATGGGTGGGGGAGGGAGGGGGTACTGCAGGATTGGAGGGGAGGGGGAGGGGAGGGTTAGTGCTGTAGGAAAGGTTTGTATTTTGGTCGGGTGGAGGGGGGGAGGGTGATGGGTGCGGGTGGGGGGAGGGAGGGGGGTTAGTGTTGTAGGAGAGGTTGTATTTTGCGGGGGGGGGAGGGGCGCGCTATCACCTGGAGGGGGAGAAGGAGGAAGGGGAGAGGGGGGGTTAGGTTGTAGGAAGGGGTTGTATTTTTGTCGGGGGGGGAGGGCGGGCGCTATACTGGAGGGGGGAGGGAGGGAGGGAAAGGGGAGAGGGGGGGTTAGTGTTTGTAGGAAAGGTTGATTATTTGCGGGAGGGGGGGCGCGCTATCACCTGGGGGGGGGGGAAGGAGGGAAGGGGGGGGTTAGGAAGGTTGTATTTTGCGGGGGAAGGGTGGGATACTGCAGGATGGAGGGGGAGGGGGGAGTAGTGCTGTAGGAAGGTTGTATTTTTGCGGGGGAGGAGTGAGGGATCGGGGGAGGGTGATGGGTGGGGGTAGGGTGGGTGTTAGTGCTGTAGAAAAGGTTGTATTTTTGCGGGGGGTGATGGGTGGGGGGGTGGGGGGGTACTGCAGGATTGAGGAGTGTGGGAAGGAGGATTAGGATGCTGGAGTATTGTAGGAATATTGTATTTTGTAGGTAAGCATAAAGGGGGGGGGGGGTTACTATAGGATGAGGAAAGTTTTTTTTTTTTCTTTTTTTTTTACAGAAAGGTTTAGCAACAGGGAGGGGTGGGTGGGGGGGGGGTAGGAGGATGTATTGTTGAAAGGAAGGTTGTATTCTGCAACTTGAGGATGAGGATCTGGACGAGACTACAGTAGGATAACGTAAGACGGGTACTGGTAGGATGGGAAGGAGGAGGAAAGAGGAGGAGGAGGAAAGGGGAGGAGGAGGAGGGAGGAGGAGGAGGGGAGGAGGAGGAAAGGGAGGAGGAGGAGGAGGAGGAGGAGAGGAAAGGGAATAGGAAGGAGAGGAGGAAAGGGAGTAGGAGAGAGGAAGGGAGGAGGAGGAGGAGGGAGGAGGAGGGGAGGGAGGAAAGGAGGAAAGAGGAAGAGGAGGAAAGGAGAGGAGAAGGAGAAGGAGGAGGAGGTAGGGGTAGGAGGAGGAGGAGGAGGATGAGGAGGTCGATGCAATGTTGCAGGAATATTGCACTCGACGAGGATGAGGATTCGCGCAACACCACTCCAAGATGTTGCGGATCAACAACCGGCGACATAAACAACCGGCGACAAACACGTAAACATAAACAACACGAAAGACAAACAAACAAACACGAATCATGACAGAAGAAAGCATCATAAACATCTTTCCGAAACAGGATTTGTAAACAACGGATGTTTTATGCAACAGAATATTAGTCAACGGACGCGTAGGATTGTCTTCGTGCATACAGGAAGAGGATGGTTGACCGAGGGGGAGGGTGTAGGATGCTGTAGGATGGGGAAGGGGTTGCAGGAGGATGGAGTGGTGGAGGATGGTTGTGCTTTGCAGGGTAGGGATGAAGGGTGGACTGAGGGGGCCGTTGTAGGATACTGTAGGATGGGGGCTGGGGGGGAGGGTGTAGATGCTGTAGGATGGGCTGGGGGGGATTACTGTAGGATGGGGGGCTGGGGAGGATACTGTAGGATGGGAAAGGGGTTGCAGGAGGGTGTGTTGTTGCAGGATGGGTCGTACTTTGCAGGGTGGGGATGAAGGGGATGGGGGGGCACTGAGGCGATTGGGGGCTGGAGGATACTGTAGGATTGGGGCTGGGACTGTAGGAGAGAGTAGGATGGGGAAAGGGGCTGCAGGAGTGGATGGGGGTGTTGTGAGGTGGTGTTGCTTTGCAGGGGGGGTATGAAGGGAGCTTGGAGGGTTGTAGGACGCTGTAGGATGGGGGGCTGGGGGGGAGTGAACTGTAGGATGGGAAGGGTTGCAGGAGGGTGTGTTGTTGCAGGATGTCGTACTTTGCAGGGTGGGGATGAAGGGGGCTGGGGGGGGGGGGGGGGCGTTGTAGGATACTGTAGGATGGGGGGCTGGGTGGGCACTGTGGATACAGTAGGATTGGGAAGGAGTTCGCAGGAGGATGTGTTGTTGTACAGCGTGAAGGCAAACAGCTGAATTACGGGTGCGAGATGTGCTTTCCCGATGTTTTGTCTCTCTCTCTCTCTCTCTCTCTCTCTCTCTCTCTCTCTCTCTCTCTCTCTCTCTCTCTCTCTCTCTCTCTCATCTCTCTCTCTCTCTCTCTCTCTCTCTCTCTCTCTCCTCTCTCTCTCCTCTCTCCCTCTCCTCTCTCTGCTCTCTCTCTCTCTCTCTCTCTCATCTCTCTCTCTCTCTCTCTCTCTCTTCTCTCTCTCTCTCTCTCTCTCTCTCTCTCTCTCTCTCTCTCTCTCTCTCTCTTTCTCTCTCTCTCTCTCTTCTCTCCTCTCTCTCTCTCTCTCTCTCTCTCTCTCTTCTGCTCTCCTCTCCTCCTCTCTCTCTCTCTCTCCTCTCTCCCTATCTCTCCCTTCCCTCCCCCCCTCACCCATTCCTCCCTCCCCTTCTCCCCCTCCCCATTCACTCCCTTCCTCCCCCTCCTCACCTGCACTCCGTCCTGGTGGTAGTCCAGCGGATGGATAATCTGCAGCCTCGACTTCCTGGCCTCCCTCAGGAGCTCCCTCCTCTCCTGCTCCCTGGCCGCCGCCGCCGCCGCCTTCCTCTTCTCCTCCTCCTTCGACGCCGAGGAGGAGGACGAGGACGAGGAGGAGCCGAGTCGCAGGAGCTTCTTGAGGGAGAAGCGGGAGGAGGAGCTTCTCCCTCCTCCTCCTCCTCCTCCTCCTGCTGCGCCCCCGTCGCCGCCTTTCTTCGTCCTGTCCCGCCCTCGGGCCTCGCCCTCGCCGCCCCTCTTGGCCGTGGGCGGGGACGAAGGCCGGAAGAAGCCTGGAGGCGGGCGGGGAAGAGAGGACAGAGCGTGAACAGAAGAAATGGAATAATTCGACTTTATTGCATTATCTCTATTATTATCGATTTTTATAAAACTTTATTATCATTATTATTATCATTATCATTAAGCTTTTTACTATACTATTATCTATCATTATTCAATACTATTATCATTATTATTATCATTACCATAACTTTATACTATACTATTATCTATCATTATCATCAATCTATTATCATATTATTATCATACCATTAAGCTTATACTATTACTATTATGCATTATCTTATTAAGCTTTATTACTATTACTATTATCTATCATTATCATCAATACTATTATCATTATTATTATCATTACCATTAAGCTTTATTACTATTACTATTATCTATCATAATCATCAATACTATTATCCTAATTATTATCATTACTATTATAAGTATCATCATCATTAACAATATTATCATTATAATTATCATCTTTTTTAGAAAAGGATCGAGCGACATATATCACGTCCATCTATCTGTTTGTCTATATTTCTATATTTTTATTTATGTATGCATCTGTCTCTTTCTGTCTACTTGATTGTCTATCTCTTTATCTATCGATTCGACTATCTATGCATCTGTCTATATATCTAACTATTCATCTATCGAGTTATCTACTTACCTACCTGTCTACTTATCTATCTATACTGTCAAATGGCACCGTAGGCACTCAGAGGCACCTCAGAGGCACGTCAGAGTTCAGCCTCTCCGGTGACGTCACACCTCCCCCTCCCGGGAATCGCACTCATGACGTCACGCCTCACACGTCATCCAAACACCTTCCGTTAGTGACCTATGACGTCACGCCCCCCCCCCTCCCCTCCCCCGACGCCCTTGGCCGCCCACCCGCTGGCGCTGACCTATGACGCCCCCCCATCCCACCCCCACCCCGCCGCCGCCTCACCTGATCTGCCGAAGCTGAACCTGGACGAGGACGACGTCGTCGAGGCCGAGCTCTGCGGCACGAGCACGGCGGTCGTCGCGGCGGCCACGGAGGCGTCGAGGCTGACCACGTGGGCGCTCGCCCGCGGCACCGAGTGCGACCTGGACGCCGCGGGCCTCGAGGTCGCTCCGCATGCGGCCGCCTCGGGGTTGGGCGCCGTCGCCACCGCTGCGCCCGCCCACGCCGCGCCCTCGGCACCTGCAAGGGACGCCCGTTAGTGCACGCCTGAATTCTGATCTATTCACGGCTTCCTCCCACACGTCTCCCTCCGCCTACAGGCTCATCTGATTGCCAGAGGATGACAGCAATGGCAGAATAAAAGAATAACTGCAACAGAAACAATAAAGAAAACTCTCCGCACTTGCCTTCGACGCCGCTCGTGCCGACGGGCCCGATGGAGTTCCTGTAGAAGGGCACCGCCGAGGACGACCGCTCGGCCTTCCTGAGGGGCGGCGGCTCCTCGTCGTCGTCGTCGTCGTCAAAGTCGTCCGTGAAGGAGGAGTAGGACTCTCCATCGCGGTTGTCGCTGGGGACCTGGAGGGCGTGGCCGTAGGCGGGGCCCTCGCGCTGCCCCTCCTCCTCCTCCTTATCTTCGAGTCCTTGTCGCTCGTAGTCCTCCTCGCGCCCGCCCCCCTCCTCCTCCTCCTCCCCGCCGCGCCTCGCCCTCGGCGGGCGGGCGGCGCAGGCCGCTTGCTTGAGCTGGACCTCGTGGCCTTTGTGCCGAAGTCGAGGGCGGCGGAGAGCAGGCTGCGGTTGGCCTCGAAGGTGGACCTCGACTGGCACCGCGTGGACTCGTGGCGGTCCACGGAGGAGCCGGAGGGCGAGGAGGAGGCGCTGGAGGCGGCGGGCGGCCCCGGGGGGGCGTCGCGCGCCGCGCCCGAGGCCTGGAGGGAGTCGTCGATCTCGTGGTAGATGGTCTCGTCGTCGCGGGAATCGCGCGCGCCCGCGTGCACGGCCACGGGCACGTCGTACACGGCTTCCGCGACGCGCTGGGGGCGCCCCTGCTGCGCGGGTACGGCAGGCGCCTGCGTGGTGGGCGGCGGCCTCTTGGGCGCGGCGGCGTCCGGCCGGGGCCCCGCCGACGACGCCTCCGACGCGCCCGAGGACGTGGACGCGGCGTCGCTGCGGTCCTCGGCGGCGAGCGACGCCAGGTTGGGCGTGGACACGGCGCCCGAGATGGAGCCCCCGGAGAGGCGCGGCGCGATGGGCGCGGGCGTCGCGTACACCCGCGGCGAGCCGCTGCCCGAGGACCGATAGGAGACCTTGGGCTTGTCCTTGAGGATGGGCGGCTTGGGCGTGATGACGGGCTTGGCGCCCGGCAGGCCCTTCAGGCAGGAGGTAGAGGCGTAGAGAGCGGACTTCTGGATGCCCGCCGTGGGCGCCGCCGCCTCCTGAGGGGCCTTGATGTCCCTGAGGAAGTCCGGCGTCGCAGGCGTGTAGGCGGGCGAGGGCGGCGCGTAGGGCGCCTCGTATATGGAGCGGGTGGACGCCGCGTGCAGGAAGGACGAGTTCTGCGGGCTGGACGCGATCATGATGGGCGTGCCGAAGGTGGTCATGAGGCTCGAGGTGCTGCTCTGGCGGCTGGCGGGCGCCTTCTCCAGCACGGGCGACGGCGTCTTGGCCACGGAGGGCCGCCGGAGCGCCTCGCTCGCCGTGGGCCCGTCCTCCGCCCCCGGGGCAGCCTCTACCTCGGCAAGCGGCGCCTCCAGGCGGGGCGTCTGCACCTTGCTGTTCACCGCCTCCTTCAGCTGCGTCTCGGGGCGTCGGGTCCCCGCTGAGAGCTTGTGTGAGGCGTCCGGGCTCGTCCTCGAGACCTCCGCTGTCCTGAGGGCGTCTGAGCTGGACTTCCTCGCCGCGGGAGGACGCGCCTCCGGAGGGCTGGGCCTCGCGGGGGACTTGGGTTTCTCCGGAGGGGCCTGCCGGGGGGACGCCCGCGGCGAGGCCTCGGGCGCCTTGCGAGACTCCGCCGCCGCCAAGGGCGCCACCTCGGGGCTGAGCTGCTTCGCCAGGGACGTCCTGGGCGCGGACGCGGGAGGGGCTTCGAGAGGCTCCTTCTGCTCCTTTGCCTCGCAGCCGCCTGCAGGGGAGGCCTCCTGCTGCTCGGGCTCGGAGTCCGCCGAGAGACGCGCGTCTGAGGGCGCGACCGACGAGGGCGGCGGCGTCTCGATGGCGGGCGGGGGAGAGTCGCCCTCCCTGGCCTTCTCCACGTCCGCTGTGTCCGCGCCTGCTGCGAGGATGCTGTCGATGTTGGTGACCTTCGTCGGGGCGGCGACGGGGGCGGCGGGGGCCGCCAGCAGGTCGTCGATGGACGTGACCTTCCCCTTCGTGCCCTTGCTCGTCTTCTGCAGCTGCTCCTCCTCCTCCTGGATGACTGTCTTCTCGACCATCTCCTCCTCGCGGGGCACGTACTTGGGCTTGATGCCCTTGAGGGGCACGTCCTCATCGTCGGCCGCACCCTCCCCGGCGGGCGCCAGGGCGGGCCGCACCACCTCGCCGTTCTTCATGGGCAGCACCTGGTTGACGCGCAGGTCCGCGTTGTTCCTCGCGATGAGCGGCTTGACGGTGACGAGCGGCGGCGACCGCTTCAGCTTGACCTTGCCGCCCTCCGGCCGCGGCTGCTCGTCCTTGGAGGCCCCGCCCCGGGCGTCGGCCTCCAGCCTGGCGCCCTCGCTGCGGCTCCTGTTCTCCCGGCCGAGGCGCTCCAGCTCCTCGATCTCCGCCAGGATCATCTTCCGCTTCTCCTCCAGCTCCTTCACGGACGGCAGCAGCTCCTCGATGTCCTTCTTCAGGTTGTCGTTGTCGGAGTTGAAGTCGGTGTTCTTCTCCGTGAGGCGCCGCAGCACCCTCTCGTCGGGGCTCAGCTGCGCGAAGTCGTCCTCGTCGTCATCATCGTCGTCGTCGTCCATGAAGTCGTCCTCGTCGTCAGAGTAATCGACGTCGCCGCCGAAGCCGATGACCTCCTCGAGCGTCGCGCGGAAGGCGATGGCGCCCCGGCCCGGCCCGCGCTCCCTGGGGGCGCCGGCCTTCTTCAGGATGCCCACGGGGAGAGGGGCCCGCTCCTCCTCCTGCGCCGCCCCCTCCGCCCTGCGCCGGCTCTCCTCCTCCTCCTCCTCCTCGTCGTCGTCGGCGTGCGGCGCCTCCTCCTTCTCCAGGTCGGAGTGGTGGCTCTCCGCCTCGCTCCTGAGGGAGGCTGTGTCGCTGTTGGCCAGTGAGGCCGACGCCTCCGACGAGGCGGAGCTGGAGGGCGCGCTGGACGAGCCGTCGTGGCTGGCGTCGGAGCCCAGGTCGCTGCTGGCGTCGCCCTTGTCGTCCGCGGCGCCGCCCTTGGGCTCGGGGCCGCGCCCCTGCCCCAGCAGCTCGCTCAGCAGCCTGGCCTCGCTCTGGCTGCGCACCTGCTGCACGAGGCGCGAGCTGCGCAGCGCGTCGGCGCCGGGCGGCCGCCCTGCCCTCGGCGCCGCTCAGCAGCAGGTTCTTCTCGTTCTCGCGGCTCACCAGGCACGACATGTCCTTGATGAGGCGCGGCGACTTGAGGCTCGAGGCCGACTTGGCGATCACCATCGCGTTCCACGAGTTGCGGCTGTAGTACGAGCGCTGGTACACGCTGCCTGCCACGCCCACGTACCTGCGCGAGCCGCCCACGCCGCCCTCGTCGCCTGCGCCGCCCCCGCCGCGGCTGCCCCTCGAGGACAGCCCCACGCCCTCATCCTCGCCTAGCCGGTCGTCGGCCAGGCCCTCCACGCCCTTGGGACCTCCCCCTCCGCCTCCTCCTCCTCCTCCTCCTCCGCCTCTCCCTCCCCTCCTCCTCCTCCTCCTCCCCCTCCATGCTCGTCCTTGGACTTGAAGCAGTTGGAGCAGAGGTCCTTCCTCCAGGCGTTCTGCACGAAGGTCTGGCAGATCACAGACAT